ATATACCCCAGCTCACCTAAGAATACTGGCACTTAGTAGTGTGAGAAGGTCAACAAGAGAAAGTAACACAACGATCCCTGCTAAAGATACCTGAGGGCAACCAACACACAGCTTTCCCATCAATCCTGTTATCTTCATCATACCTATGAAGACACAGCCAGGAGAATATAAGAAAGAGCTACAAGCACTATAATCTTCCATATATGTATATGCATATGTGTGTGTGTGTGTGTGTGTGTGTGTATCACTTTATTGTCTAGCTATTGGTACTTATGTGTGTTATCATGAATGTCTTCTGTGTGATGCCAACATCATCAAAGAGAGTTTAGGGTCAGAAAAGCTGCTAGTAATGGTACAATCAGGTCCCGGTAAGGTAAACCTTTAAAACAATCAAATAGCAAACCAAACAGTGTTTTCAAGCATGCCTGATTATTTACTAGCCATTCAAAACAACTGGTAGGTCTTATTTTGGCAATAAAACTTTGAAATAAAAGACTAAATATTATTACAGGTTACAAATATACCAGATCAAATCTGATTACTGTTTTCAAAATAACTTCTGCTAAGCACTTACACTTTGTTCAGTATTGCTTTGTTTTACATTAAGTAAATGATGAAATCCTTTGAAAGTAAGCATTCCTATACTCCTTCAGTTTATGATTTCTTCTGTCTCACACACTAGACAGTGAGCATCTTTGGGACAAGAGCTACAAAATCAGTCTACTTCCCTGAGTTTTCTGAATGAGGTATTTTAAATACTAAATAAAATACAGCATTTATTGAATGAATAATTCCCCACAACACATACAACTATTGCCTGTTTTCAATCTCAATCCCATCTTACCCTATTTTCCATTTTGCAGACAAGAAATTTTTTCTTAAAGCACCAAAATAAACCTCATGGCTCTTATGCCAAAAACCCTGTAATGCCTTTGTATCACATTTGGACAGAATTAAAACTCCTTAGGACAAAATCCTTGTAAACTGGCTCTAGCCTGCCAATTCCAATTCTCTCCTCACAGCACTGCCTCTACCATATGTTCCCAGGCACAGGAAACTGGTGCTCTGATGCCTCCACACCTGTATACATAGTGCTCCCTCTACTTGGACTGCCCCAACACTTCTCCTCAGTCTTGGCTAGATGCCATCTCCCCTAAGAAGCCTTCTGCTCATTTCCTGAATCAGTCAGTGTGCCCTCCCCACACAGTACATCTAGGAGAGATTAAAAATTTTGCTTCCTGGATGTAGTGTGATGGGTCCCGAACAAGGTTACTAAACCTTGAAGGCAAAACTGTGAGTCAAGGTCATGGTGCTCATCCAAGGAGCAGGTGTCCCTGAGAACCCAAACATAAATTTTACAAACCTTTATGATGTGTTTTCCCTTTAAAACTGAATGCTTTTAACAGCAACTAGGTCACATCTTGAATGCTTTGCTGCTTAGAAATTTCTTCTGCCAGATACCCTAAATCAACTCTCTCAAGTTTAAAGTTCCACAAATCACTAGGGCAGGGGCAAAATGTTGCCGGTCTCTTTGCTAAAACATAACAAGGGTCACCTTTGCTCCAGTTCCCAACAAATTCCTCATCTCCATCTGAGATCACCTCAGCCTGGATTTCATTGTCCCTATCATTATCAGCATTTTGTTCAAAGCCATTCAACAAGTCTCTAGGGTGTTCCAAACTCTCTCCCATTTTCCTGTCTTCTTCTAAGCCCTCCAAACCATTCCGACCTCTGCCTGTTACCCAGTTCCAAAGTCACTTCCACATTTTTGGGTTATCTTTTCTGCAGTGCCCTACTCTATTGATACCTATTTACTATATTAGTTCATTTTCCTGCTGCTGATAAAGACATACCTGAGACTGGGTAATTTATACAGGAAAAAGGGTTTATTGGACTTAACAGTTCCATGTGACTGGGGAAGCCCACAATCACGGCAGAAGGCAAGAAGAAGCAAGTCACATCTTACGTGGATGGCAGCAGGCAAAGAGAGAGCTTGTTCAGGGAAATTCCACTTTATAAAGCCATCAGATCTCATGAGATTTACACTATCACAAGAACATCTTGGGAAAGACCTGCCCTCATGATTCAATAACCTCCCACTGGGTCCCTCCCACAACATGTAGGAATTCAAGATGAGATTTGGGTGGGGACACAGCCAAACCATATCAACTTCTATAGTGTCTCCTAAATCATGAGGTTATGGGAAAATATGGCATAAAAGTCTGGAAAATTTGCAGACTGACAATGTGATAGAAAAGAAAATCCCATTTTCTAATAAATCCACATCAGCTGCAGAAATATGCATAAGTAACAAGGAGCTGAATGTTAATCCCTAAGATAACGGGGAAAATGTCTTCCACGTCAGAGGTCTTCATGGAGCCCCTCCCATCACAAGCCAGGAGGCTTCGGAGGAAAAAATGGTTTCATGGGCTGGGTCCAGGGTCCCCATGATGTGTGTAGCCTAGGGACTTGGTGCCCTGCATCCCAGCCACTCTAGCCATTGCTGAAAGAGACCAACGTAGAGCTTGGGCTGTGGCTGCAGATGGTGCATGCCTCAAGTCTTGGCAGCTTCCACATGATGTTGAGCCTATGAGTGCACAGAAGTTAAGAATTGGGGATTGGGAACCTCCAACCAGATTTCAGAGGATATATGAAAACTCCTGAATGCCCAGGCAGAAGTTTGCTGCAGGGGCAGGGCCCCTCATAGAGAACCTCTGGGGGCAGTGCAGAAGGGAAATGTGGAATCAGAGTCCCCACACAGAGTTCACTACTGGGGCACCCCCTAGTGGAGTTGTAAGAAGAGGGCCACCATCTTCCAGACCCTAGAATGGTAGATCCACCAAAAGCTTGCACCATTCACCTGGAAAAGCCACAGACACTCCTCACCAGTCTGTTAAAACAGCTCGGAGAGAGGCCGTACCCTGCAAAGTCACAGAGGTGGAGCTGCCCAAGACCATGGGAGCTCTCCTCTTTCATCAGTGTAACCTAGATGTGAGACATGGAGTCAAAGGAGATCATTTTGGAGCTTTTAAGATTTGACTAACAGCTGGATTTCTGACTTGCATGGGGCCTGTAGCCCCTTTGTTTTGGCCAATTTCTCCCATTTGGAATGGCTGTATTTACCCAATGCCTGTACCCCCATTGTATCTAGGAAGTAACTAACTTGCTTTTGATTTTTCAGGCTCTTAGGCAGAAGAGATTTGCCTTGTCTCAGATGAGACTGGACTTTTAAGTTAATGCTGAAATGAGTTAAGATTTTGGGTGACTGTTGCGAAGGCATGATTGGTTTCGAAATGTGAGGACATGATATTTGGGAGGGGCCAGGAGTGGAATGATATGTTTTGGTTGTATCCCCACCCAAATCTCATCTTGAATTCCAACAAGTTGTGGGAGGGACCCAGTGGGAGGCAATTAAATCATGGAGGTAGGTCTTTCCTGTGCTGTTTTCATGATAGTGAATAAGTCTCATGAGATCTGATGGCTTTATAGAGTTTCTCTGAACAAGCTCTCTCTTTGCCTGCTGCCATCTATGTAAGATGTGACTTGCTCCTCCTTGCCTTCCACAATGATTGTGAGGCTTCCCCAGCCACATAAAATTGTAAATCCAATACACCCTTTTTCCTGTATAAATTACCCAGTCTCGGTTGTGTCTTTATCAGCAGCTTGAAAACAAACTAATACAGGAGTCAAAAGCAAATGTAAGGGGATAGGAGGATGAAAGGAAATCAAAAGAGTTCTCAGTGGGACAGTATGAATAGAGGTTGGGACAAAAATACTCATTAAGTCAGAGTCAGGAAAAAGAAAGATCTGAAGCAGCAGCAGAGACTCTGTTGCTGGCTTTGCAGAAGCAAACAATATGTAAATTGTCTATGGGGTGGCCCATGTGGCAACAATCTGAAGGCAGCTTTTAGGAGACAAAGCAGTCTCCAGGCAACACCAAGCAAAAAACAGGACCTCAGTCCTGCATCCACAAGGAAATGAAATTCTGTAAGAACTGGTGAGCCTGTAAGAGGACCTCAAGTCTCTGATAAGATCACCGCTCCAACCAAAATCTTAACATCAGCATCTGAGACTTTAAACAGAGGCCCCAGTGAAGCTGTGCCTAGACTCCTGACACAAAGAAACTATAAGGTAATAAAGTTGCATTGTTTTAAGCCACTAACTTTGTGGTAATTTGTTACACAGCAACAGAAAACTAATACATCATGCTTACAAATCTTGCCTACGTCAAACTTTGTTTTCTCAAATGCTACACTGCCTTTTCTATATAATCTAGCAAACATGCTTCAATTTTTATGAAATCTGAACATTTCACATTTGTTACAAAAGCATTTTATCTATGAGCTTATTTGGCTAGATTCAAAATATATCTGAATGAGAAATTGAATTTAAAAGCATATTTCCTTAACTTTTTGGATCGTATTTTGAAAACTTATCATTTTAGAAAATATTTACTATATTATGTGCTTAGAAAAAGGTTGCATATTACCATACTTAGTTCTCTTTTCAATATGTCAATCACTAAAGTATATAAAAAAAAATCACATTGTGAAAGCATTTTCACTCACTGTGTGAACGTTTTCAAACTATGTAACATGGGGTGAAAGAAGAGATATACCAATTTTACAATCAAAATGTTATATAAGATTATATAATAAATTTTCCAAAACAACAATCTGTTTACATAGCTATATCTGTCATCTAGATACGAGCAAATTAGGGAAAAATAGTTTGGTGAGATTACTAATCCCAGTTAGGGGGCAAAATAAGCTGCCATTATGTTTTCAGAATATAACATTTTCTTCTGTGCTTTTGTCAAACAATTAAGTAAATTTATAAATAAACAATCAGGATATATGTTCATATTATAGTTGCTTTATTATACAGTTCCAAATAAAGTTTGGTTTCTTATAAAGAATACACTAAAAAAAAAAAAAAACAAAAACACACACACAGAAAGAAAGAAAAAAAGAAAAAGAATTGACTTTAAATTAGCCTACCTTCCACATTCAAAGTTCCCATTTTAGATTCCAAGAAATCAAATAATGTGCTTGGTGCTGATGGCCTTGCGTTTCCCAGGTCCTCTTCATCTTCAGATCTTATTCGTCCCCTGCCTTTTCCTCTACCTTTAGATGTAAAAGCAAGAAATATGTACTATATATGCAAAAACAAAAAGAATATATACTAACATATAACCAAAAATTTTAAATAGGGATTTTAATTTCTTTCCATATTTTTTGTATAGTCTACATCTTTTCAGTAATTTTTTAAAGTTTTTTAAGTAATTATATTAAGTAGCACATTTAATCCTCTAAATAAATCATCTATTCAGAAGTCTGAATTTGTTTATATAAACTATCTTCTAAGTAAAAATTATAATTTATTCTTCAACCACAGACATTTTAAAAATAATATAGGACTGGGACTTGAAAAACCACATAATAAACTTGACCATGCAATGATTAAAGAATAATACCAAGGCCGGGCGCGGTGGCTCACGCCTGTAATCCCAGCACTTTGGGAGGCTGAGATGGGCCGATCAC